GACTGGCCAGTTGCCTTGCTACAAAGGAAGTGTGTGTGTACTGTAGAAGCCTCCAGCAGTGGGTAGAGGTGTCCACTCACTCAGGGCCCTCCTCTAGTCATCACTGTAGAGGTGTGCAGATGGACATTGAGCAGTTAGTGGGAGAAAGACTGTCTACTATTTTTGTCTCTGAAGGTTAGTTAGGTATCTGTGTGTGCACAGCGTAATTCTCGAGATAGTTGCATACATTTATGTTGGGGTTTTGCAGATTGTTCATACGGTTTGTCTGTCAGACCTGACAGGCCTGCTTTGTTCTTGCTGGATAAACCCCAGTAAAAGGTCCCACACAAGTTAATTTTAGGGCTGGGACACAGAGGCTGATGTCATAAGCAGCCACCAAAGAATTTGCCCTTGGGACTGATAGAGCTCTTTCTCTCTGTGCTGTGAGAAAACTGTGGGCTCAAGGCTGGACTTTTTTTGGGGGGTGTTCACCCATCTGCCTGAAGGTGTCTGGACTGGGCAAAGAAGGTGTGACAGGGAAGAGGAGTAAAAAAATATGTAAAATCCCCCTGCATCTCCTTTTGCAAATGTCACTGCACCACTTTTAGCACCAGTTCCCTGTGCTGGTCTGGCTGTAGCCCTGCCCTCTGACTTCCGCACAGGTAAGATGGCAGCAGAGGGAGTCCCATGTCTTGAGCGATCCCTAAATCTCAGTATTTTCCATCATACTATGATTTTTCCACTGGTGGGTGTGGGAAACGGACACCCTGCATCTTATGCTAGATCCAGAGCTCTGGTATTGTTCTGTGAAAGCAGTTTCTCTGGGTTTTCAGTTCCTCCCCCACAGAGCCTATCCTACCTGACTGTGCCTCTGCTGCCGCCCAAACCAGAAATCCCTTGAAAACTGACAGAAATTTAAGCCAGATTCAGCAGAGGATGTAGAACTAGGGATATCACTGCTGACATCAAATGGATCTTGACTGAAAGCACAGAATATCAGCAAGATGTTCACTGTGCTTTATTGATTATGCAAAGATTTTCAACTGTGTGGATCATAAGAAATTATGGATAACATTGTAAAGAATGGGTATTCCATAATACTTGTGCTCATGAAGAACCTGTGGCAGTTGCTAGAAGAAACCAAGGAGCTGTAGAATGGTTTAAAATCAGGAAAGTTGTGCACCAGGATTGTATTCTTTCAACATACATATTCAATCTGTATACTGAACAAATAGTCCAGAATCTGTATTATACAAAGAAGAAAGAAGTAGCAGGGTTGGAGGAAGACTTTTTAACAATTGCAACATGCAGATGATATAAATTTGCTTTCTGGACTCAAAGAGGGCTTAAAATATCTATTTATGAAGAACTAAGACTACAACCTTCAGTATGGATTATGCTTCAATATAAAGTAAACAAGGATATTTACAACTGAACTGATAACAACTAATATGAAAAATGAAGACAAGATTGCTTGAATCCACTGTCAACACTCATGGAAGAAGCAGTTAACAAATCAAATGATGCATTGCATTAGGCAACTCTGCTGCAAAAACTCTTTTGAGTGTTCAAGAGCAAAAATATAAGTTTGAAGACGAAGGTGTGCCTGACTCAAGTCATGGTATTTTCAAT